AGTATTTAGTATTTAGTACCTGATTCCTCACACAAAGTGGACAGAGGCTTCCGAACATCTTCTCGCTTCCTCCTGCACCAGCTAGGGAACTCTTTGTCTCAGCTGCCATTTCTTTTCCATAAGCTGCCCCGCTCCTGCAATAGCTCCATAACTCCCTCTTGTGTCCAAACCTGAACCAAGACCATGGCCGGGGGTTAAAAACGACAGCAGTGGACAGAAAAGATGGTTATGTCTATAAAAGCAGGAGCTAAAGCTCCAAGGATGGCCATTCACACTGGTGTGAGAAGGGGAAGAGGCCTGGAAGTTTCTGATGCATCCCCAATGGTAATGTTAATGAGATAGAGAAGGGTGCTACAGCACACTCAAGGGATTCCCAATTGCAACCGGTATATAGAGGTCACACTCAAGCTGTTGGAGTGCTAAAGTTTTTCTATTGCACTTCTAGGTTTCTATCTATACACACACAGTTCATGCGTAGAAAGAGAGCTTTGGAAATCCGGGTCATTGTTTATTACATTCCCCTTCAGCTGGTTTCATGCTCCATACAGAAAATACACAACCCAGCACTGCCCTGATATGCTGCTGATAATGCAGATGACATGTACGAAGAGGAGAATTTATGACAGAGAATCCTTTACCCCCAACATTTCCAGCCTTGCTTTATTTCTCCAGAATGTCATATTTTGAGGGGAGGAGGCACAATCAGCTACTACTGTATTAATATTATTTATTTGTTGTCCAAGTAGCACCTAGACACTCCAGCTGAGATCAGGACCCATTGTACTGGCTGCTGCACGGATGCGTAGTAAGAAACAGAGTAGTTCACTCTCTGCAAAGACGAGGGACGTACCATTTTTAAAGATGGGGAGGGTTAAGGCTGTCTAGCAAACCAGGGAATTGAACCCACATTCAACTCCAGTGCCTTAACTACATGTCCAACCTTCTCACCAGTGGGGATAATTCCTTGGCTCAGTCCGTAATGAGGGAAGAAAAAGACCTCACCCACTAACCCGACAGAGGAGAGACGTCAAAGCAATATTCACGGAGCTGCCCCCTTCTCAAACTGCTGCACAGTGTTTTGGTCGAATGCCCAAGAGAGACCTCTCCAGAGAAGCAGGTAACTCCCCAGGGGGCCAGGGAAAGTTTGTGTAGGCCAACAACAGAGGACCAGCATTGGCGGGGGTGGGGGAGAATAAACACACTCTTATCAGAGGGATAGCTGCGTTAGTCTGTATCCACAAAAACAACGAGGAATCCGGTGGCACCTTAAAGACTAACAGATTTATTTGGGCATAAGCTTTCGTGGGTAAAAAAACCCTCTTCTTCAGACACACTCTTGTTATTCTAGTTGGAATGTGAGCTGAACTTTGTAGTTCATGTATCAATTTTTCCCCATATGGCCCGAGACTTCTGCCTCCTGATTGGAGGACACAGAGATATTCTAATGCATTGGCAGCAAATAAACCTCATCTAAGCATTGCACAACCCAAGCAAACTTTGGAGTTACTTGGTGCCTAGAAGAGAGCAAGGGTCCTTACTTATCCAGGGTACATATTGACCCCCATTACCACAAGATCTGAGCACCTTATAATCTTCAATACATTTACACACAAAATCCCCTGTGAGGTAGGAAAGTGCTGTTATTCCTGTTTATCAGATGGGGAACTGGGGCCTGGACAGACTAAGCTTCTCACCCAAAGTCTCACAGGAAGTCTGTAGCAGACCAGGAAACTGAACCCTCATTTCTGGCTAGAACCCTAAGCACTGGGCCATCTCTTTACTCTGATTTGCTGGCTCTTCACAACCACAAGTAAATGTTTCATGCCCATGCCCTAGTCCAAAATAGTAGCTGAGAAGGGAGAGACAAGGTCTATACATAGGGCTTGAATGTCTTCTAACCTATGCTGATGTAAATCAGGAGTGACTCCGCTGATACCAATGGAGTTACATCCATGTGAACCTGATGTGCGTGGGAGGAGAATAAGGCCCACACAGTGTAAAACAAGCAAGAAACAGGATAAGGGGTAGTTTAGGACATTTAACCATGAAGTCATCATCAGTAATATTTGTCCACAAGACCTTTTTCAGCCATTTTCTGAAATAGGAGAGGATGGGATATTAATCCATTTTAATAACTTCTCTTCTCTCTTAGGGAATGGTCCATCTGTCTAGAGACAGAAGCCTACATATGTACACACATGCCTCTAACTGACGAGGGTGATGAATAAACTTCCCATATAGGCCAATTATTCCTTTATTGACCAAAAAAAGTTTGTGAATGGAGGTGGCAGCTTGCATGGGGAATGGGCATGGGGCAGAGTGGGCTACAAGACCATCTCTTAATTGAGGTTCAGTCAACATATTTTGAAAAGCCTGAGCACCCTGGCATTAGTACAAACTGAAGGTCAAACTCTGCTTGCCTCACTCACTGTCCCTTTGAACTTCTCAGTCTATTTAGTTGTAGGCCCAAACCAAGAAAGAGAAGAGAAAGAGAACACATTTCCCTTAAACAAGCCCCAGAATGAAGATTCAAGTGCATTACCAGGAGGACATCAAGCCAGCAGTGTCCCTGCACCTTCTGCCCTACCAGACTGCCATTTGTCTTAACCTCCCAATAGGTATTCTGGCATGCCTGGTTTGTATTATTTAAGAACATAAGCTATGGAGGAAAGCATGTTGGCTTAGTCGTCCCATTGTGCACATGGTCAAAAGTGTGCAGAGAAGGAAGGTGTAACAGCCCCTTCTCTTCTCCCTTCTCTTCCCCCAAGGAGGTGGTCAAGTGGTCTAGGAGAAACCAGGGATGGAAGAAGTTCAGCAGGTAGCTCTGTTCCAGTCAAAAGGCCTGGACATTAACATTCCACCTGCCCTACAGAGAGGGAAAAAGTCTTTTACAGGAAATCACCGGTGTTCAAGGGAATTCACCCTGTAGAGTCTGTAGTTTGTTTAAACTGGGCTGGCAGAAGTTTTACGGTGGGAGGGGAGTAGATTTTTATGACATTATGTCACTTTTGGGAATATAGCATCAGTAACTAAAGAACGGCTCTGTATTTGAAAGTAGATCTTGTGTTGTTTCGCTAGCTATTGTGTGAGTACTAGGATGACATGTTTAATGCAAGAATAATTTTCACAAGACTGCTCAGAACCCTGTAGTTAGTCCCTACAGTGTCAACTGCTTAGTGGGAGCATGCTGTGTAAAGAGGGTCAATACAGTTTTAAAATAAAATGGAAAGAAGGGACAATTATAAAACTGACTCATACATGGAGGGGACTCACACACCAAATCACTAAGAAGGAAAACAGAGCAAGAGATCAGTCCCTGGAAGGAGCCACAGATGACCACACGAGGGCACTACTCCGTATCTGTTACATCTCCTGGAGTTTTATTTTATAGCCTATGCCAGAAACTGGAAACAGACCTATCAAGAGGGCTTTGCTGCAGACAGTGCTTTGGGTGCTGATACATTATTGCCGGGGTTTGAAAGAAAATGCAGAGGAGACATTGTTTAAAGCTCCCAGGTGGTGTATGTCACTTAGCCGCTAGTGAATGATTCAGTACCCTTGACCTATTCAGATGCTGAGCCATGGACTTGGTTTTGAGACGGTGGCTTGAATTGGATTTCACTCTGAGTTGGGGACGCGGTCAGAAGTGACCTAATGCTGCCTCCTTTCCCTAGTCCAGTTTCACTCTCTCTGTGGAGTAAATCTCCTCTCTTGCTATTTATCTGTAGTGTTCACAGAATGAAGCCTGGGAATGGCACGTAATGCAGGATTCTTTCCTCCCCAGCACCTGTTTCCATGATTTTCCTGTCTTCTATTCCAGTCTGACTTTACTTTGGAAACCCTTTGGAGTTTGGCAGGACAAGTAGCCACTGCCTCCCTGTGAGCAACTAACAAGGTATTTATTGATACAGCAAGAAAACTAGAGATTTCATTTCACTCCATTCTTCCTTCATCACAGAACAAACACCTTATCAGCCCGATTCTCCGTTGACTCGCAGTGCTTTATACAGGTGTAAATGACTACACAAGCAGCAAGGGCCTGGAGAATCAGGCCCCAGGAAGGAACCAGCATAAATCTTTAGCTGGAGAGAAACTCCTTGTGCTGTCCATAAGGTGGCGCCCATTCTCCATTTGATTGGGGAGCAGGCTGAGTTTTCGGCAGAGAAAGGAGCTACTTGAACAAGATGCAAAGATACTTTGCTTGAGCCTGGTGATGTGATCCTTTGTTTTGTGTTTAGGATCCAGCCATGCAAAAATAAAACAAACACATGTGTACCCAGAAAGCAGCTCAGGACAAGAGACCAAGGCCCAGATCCTCAAAGATATGTAGGCGCTTAACTCCTATCCATTGCAATGGAAGTTAAGTGTCTAAATAACTTCGAGGATCTGAGTCTTCTGTAGATTGCCAGACCCATGCGGTATGTCTTACAGATGGTAATGCTGTGTGCCAAGCTCCATGGAGCCACTAAAGAATAGTCAAGGAAACATGTCTTGAAATCACAGCAGCACAATGGGAATTTTAACCCAAGCCACATGCCCTTCCCATCTGTTTGCAGACTGGTATAATGGAAAAACAGAGACAGGCACTTTCACACCCCAGTGACGAAACTTAGGCACCTGAATCCATATTTAAGCCCCTACACATGCTGCTTGTTTTTCAAATGCCCTAAGCTCCCGTGTCTCCTTCTGACAGGTGCTCAGCCGCTCTGTAAACCATTTATTTAGGGGCCTAAATAGAGATCTAGTTGACTAACTTTTAAGCACTCAGGTGCGGCCATATTTGATCACAAGCTTAACTGTGTAGTAGAAGAAAACAAATCAGTGTCTGAACAACTCTGAGACAAGAAGCTCTTTGCACAGAGGTAAAGATCTCCCTCTTTGCAGCTGCAAATTGACTTTACCTTGGGCTCCCTGCATTCTGCTCACGTCCATTATAATCGCCCTCTTTAATGCCCACTTCCCTAGAACAAGCTTGGCTCTCAAATGTCTAATGAAAAGGAGGAAAGCGAGATATGTAAAACTGCTCACACTGTTAAAACAAAAGCTTTGCAATGGCAGCTTGTGTTGCTGATTTCTAATTTACTGAAATACTCTCAGCAATAAACTCTGTCAGTTACCTAAGGAACAGTCCCCTTCATTAGGATCTACCACTGGATAATTGATAGTCAAAAACATAATGGATGTAATGGATGTCAAGGGAAACCACCAGGCAGTAATGTCTGCAATGATAGGATAATTGAACTTTTTTTTAAATGCACCAATACTTAAAAAAATTATTCTGATACACAAAGAGCAGAATGACACTTTCTCTTAATTTGAATTGCATGGAATAGGCTGTTGCCACAGGTCCCCTGCTGAGGCAAAAAAACAGACATTGATCCAGCGATAATGTTCTCTCACAATGATTTCATTTATATTAGGCCAGATGACTGATGTAGATGTAATCATCTGATCTGATTCATGCTGCTGCAGCTCCAATGTATGGTGGCTCATTGTAGCATTATAGATTGGCTGTAGACACTAGGAGCCAGCCAGTTACACGTCTCTTGTTTACCACACAAGATTTTAACACAGCACTTGAGTTATTTCAATGGGAGCTAGGCTTCAAAATATCTTGGAGGATCTGGGCCTTAATGAGTTGCCCAAGGTCAGACATGACGTGAACAAGGAAATGAACTCAAGTTTCCAAGTCGCAGGTTAGTGCCCTAACTGCCTCTTCAGCTAATCGGAAAATTGGTTTTTGATTGGCTGAAGTTTTAGGTTTTAACTGTTTTCAGCGAGTAATAACTCTCTACCTAGAAAGCTGATTGGCTGGATTAGATTTTATTATGATAATGTTTAGCATTTATGGAGAACTTTGTTGTGTACAAACATAAACTGAACTTCACAACAGCCCTATGAGCTATTGCAAGTCTATTGCAGGGGTCGGCAACCTTTCAGAAGTGGTGTGCCGAGTCTTCATTTATTCACTCTAATTTAAGCTTTTGTGTGCCAGTAATACATTTTAA